GGGGGGGGGGGGAGGGGGTAAATGAATGTCTTTGGTGATCTTTGTCAAGACGATACTCGCGTAAACTTTTATATAAATCTGTTCATTTGAAAACGTTAATTGTCATGGCAGAACGGACAATCTAGAACTGATTCAACTAGGATATTTATTTGAAAAAAACTAAATCTAACAGAATATAAACATTAAAATTAATAATTTTTCACTCCATATTTTATATAATAATATTAATGTTTCAATCAATATGAAGAGTTGGGTGAGAAAACACAGCATATTTTGAAATATAAGTTAGATTGTTGAAAATGTGGGTTTGCCACACATTCTTTTAACTCAGATGTAATTTATTGTTGAAATTTTTCCAAACGATCTCAAGATAAAACTGAAATTTGTAAGCCTTGGCGTCTAATAAAATGTTGGTCAAACGACTGAAACCTTTTCTTGAATGAACTCAACGAATACAATTTTGGTTTCTTCTTTTATTATGAATTGATTTTAACAAAAGTTTTAAAGGTTAATTATTATTATTCTAATTATTAAAACTTTCCGGATTTGATAATAATTTCAGAAGATATATAAAAAGGTATAACATGTTCAGTTACGAATAATGGCTCAACTACAAAATAGTATAAAATTTATAAAGGAGTAAGCCAAGGCGACCCAATGACTTCAAATCTTTTTTTTAACCTGGTAATAGAATCTTCTACTTTTAAATATCCGAAATAACGAAAACAAATAAGGGGCATTGATTGTTAAGCCATATTTAAGTGAATTAAATCTTTTTTTTTTACTTAATTGAACCTTATAGTGAAATATCTGGTTTGTCAATTAATACCCAGAAGTTTTAATTCCCACTTTAATGTTGTAACTTTTTTAAAATTGGAAAATTTAGGTTTATTTTTCACATTGAATGAATATGAATTAGAATTGTTTAACTGTACTAAGAAATTGGAAGAAATTGATATAATTATATCTCAAATGCCAGAAATTAAACGGTAAATTATAGCATATTGATCGTAAAAACACTTTGCACGCTTTTACAGCCCTTTAAACACCACTCAATTTTGTTAAATCTTCGACTATTAAATAATTATGTACGAAATGTTCACAGTACACATTGATATTTAATAATCAGGTAATATGGAATAACAAAAAGAAAATGCACATAATATAATAAACAAAATTTTTTCAAGTAATAATTATATCAGTGATACAAAAGACATAATTTAGACAACTTAATTTCATTTCAATTTGAACTTCGTCTTTTCTACGATCTACTATTCAATCATTAATGCCAAAATCCGAATATTTTATTTTCATTTTAAATGCATTCACCAATTTATTTACACCAATATGAAACTATTCAAATGCAAATTGTCAGATAACTTATCAATTCCTTCAGATGAAGAATATCTCAACTATAAGCAAGACATGATTAACGTCATTGGTAGATAACAACAAAATGGAACTGTAAAGTATCATCATTGATATACTTTGTATGTGTTCTAACTATGACCTCTTACATTCACACATTTTATACTATCATCATTATTTAAAATATACAATTTCCTAAAATTTCAAAATACAACACTTTTCTTTTGACGTTATATAAGCTTTACTGCATCTTTGTATATCGTGTATTTATACGTCCTATACATCCCAGCTCGAGTGTTTG